GCACGCGAGGCATTTCTGCTCCTTCTGCGGTAAATTTGCCTTCCGCCGAAAGGCTGTTGGCATCTGGCGCTGCGATGGCTGCAGCAAGACAATGGCCGGCGGCGCCTACACACTGAGCACACCTAACAACAGCACCGTCCGCTCCACCGTCCGCCGTCTGCGTGAGCTGAAGTAAGAAACAGGTGTGAGAAAGAAAAAAAAAATAGGGGAAGAAATTACAAAAAATAAGAAAAAAAAAAATGAATGAAAAGTTTAGAGAAAAAGAAAAAGAATAGATTTTTTTTTTTGTTCTTTTTTCTTTTTCTTCTTTGCGATTCTAATTTTTTTTTTTTATTATTTTCCCCTATTTTTTTTTTTTTCATGTCGTTTCTTATTTTTGTCTTTTTTTTTTTGTACCCACTGGCCCTTAGTGAGAATACATGAGATGGAGTTTCTTGAGGTGATTCGTTTCTTCGAGTATGTGCTTTGATGTGTGGATTCATTTTTGTTTCATTTTTCTGAAGTTGGACTCTTTATGTCAGTGTTACCACAGTACCACGATTCTATTTTTTTTTTCTTTTTTTCTCACATTGGTGGGAGAAGAAGAATAAAAGTTGAAAGCTATGAGAGTAGTGATTCTGGTAGATGAGGTTTTGACATTGACAGAAGAAGAACTATTTCTATTTATATTTTATGACCCTTGCGTTTTTAAATTCTCAGTATAGACTGAGAAGAGAAATAATGAAAGAAGATGAGGGAGAAATATTTCTCCCCCATTTCTTACTCCTTTGTTTTTATATATTTTTTTTTTTTTTTTTTTTCTTTCTCTCTTTCGTTTTATTATTATTTTTTTTTTCTCGGTAGGGAGTGTAGTAGTTAATCTTGCAAATAGAAGAGATATAAATAATACTTTTCTATGGAGCCTCTTCTTGTGCTGTTTAATGAGTCAAGTGAGGAACTAAACACACTATATCGGGCAGCACTACAGAAAGATGATGATGGAAATAACCGTGAAGCAAGAATAGACGCTTTCCGTGTATTGCATGATTGTTTCACCGCACACACAAACAGAATGAATAGTGAGATGAGTGCCTGTAAGAGTGATATCGAACGGGAAGCGGATGATCTTGAAGAGGAAGTGGCCGAATTAGAGGCAGAACTGCAAATGCTACGCAATACCACAGAAGGACGAGTCCATGAATTAAATTATATAATCGTACCACCATTAGCACTAACGACAACAACAACAACAGACTCAACACTTCCATTATCAGCAGAGAGTGAAGGAGTGATGGAGGCCTATCAAACATTTATGACCCATTTAGCAGATTTTACAGCTCAATTATCGGTAATGCGTGCGGCATTGCAGGGATTACTTTCACAATCCGCACTTCAAGTCGTCTCTTCAACTTCTCTTACGGCCTGGTGTGGAGTTACCAACAGGGAAACATGGACAACCCGAGAGAAACAATTACATGCTGCTTGGAAAACAGTAGTGGAAAAGGCAGGACCTGCAGGAATAGTAACAGGAGATGCTATTCTTTCCACCGCACAAGATTTATTAACGTCAGTTATACAATTGGGAAAACGTGCATTAAATCGTGTTGCTTTTGGAATAAAGGAACGTGAAGTACGAGAGAGAAATTTAAAACAATTTGAGACAAATCAACATCGTCTGGTATTATGGTGTCGTCAACAACAGGCAAATCTTGCGGCATTAAATGATCCAGATCATATTCAAGAGTTCTGTGCATTATTGGTAGAATACTTTAGGGACATGACGGGTAACTATAAAGCTTTACTAGAAACAGCGGAGTCCTTATTGGATAATGCCACCGTACAAGAGAAAATACTAGAAGTAAATGAGACATGGGTACACCTACAAGTAAATACTTTAGAAAGATTACAACAAACATTATATGAGGTGAATGAAAAAGCTGTTTTGGAAGAACATGTAGAAGAGCATACAAGTTTCTGTTTACAATTGGGTTCTTTTATAGAAGAAATTTTAAATTCTTTAACAGCTATACGCGATACAACCTCACCATTACATCAACGTTCTCTTGCTCTTGCACATGATTGTGAAGCTTTACGTGAACTTTTACCTGAACATGATGATCTCTGTAAGCGTCTTCTTGATTTTGCTGGACGCATGCGAATTCAACGAGAAGCTTACAATTGTTATCGAGCCGCAGCACTCTCTCGTGTAACTTATTTAACATCTTCTTCAGATATGGCTGCAGAAGCAGGACGTCGAAAGGAAGAATTTGAAAGTTGTGTAGAGGAATTACAATTATGGGCAGATGAGAAATCAAAAACAGACTCCTGGAGAGATATTCGTGATCAAATAGGAAATATCAAGACCTTATTACAAGGAGAGCAAGAGTTTACTGATTTGGTAAATAAGAGAGATGAACTTGAAAAAAGGAATAGAGGAAAAAAGAGATGATCTTTTAGAGTGTGATTGTAGGGAAGTTTGCATATTATCTCCTCCCCCTCCCCTCAAGAAAAAGAAACGAAAACGAGAAACGACCAACATATGGGTATGGGCTTGTATTTTTATTTTTAATTATCTTTTGAGAGCAAAAAAAAAAAAAAAAAAAAAATAAAAATAAAAAAATAAATGAGAGCCATTTTTTATTTTTTTTTTTGTATAAATAATGATGGCTCTTTTTCTTTTTTAAAATTTCTTCTGCCTTTTATAATATAGACCACTGGGTTGGCCTTACCTCCACTCCTTACGTATATGCCATCCAGCGTTATTAGTCAAGATGATTCATATCAAACTTCTTCTTATGCTGATCCAATCCCACAGAGTGTTCGCCTAGATAGTGAGGAGGCATTCGCCCTGCAATTGTGGATTTCACGTATTCGATACTCAGATGAAAGTAATAACTTGCCGCCTCTTTATATTCCTACGGAGTCATCATCATCATCATCATCACTGAAAGAGAAAACAACACAATTAACATTAAAAGAGGAAAAAGTAAAAGAAATCGTACCATTTGGTCCCGCACTTCCTCCAGGATGGTATATGGATGTGAATGATCCAGTTTTATTAACATATGATCCATACTTTGGAACTCACACGGCGGGAACAAATGTGATGGCAGCACCAATCTTCACAGCAAAGGAGGGACGATATTACGCCAATGACGCACTTCCGCTTTGTCGCGTTGGGGCCCATTCACTTAAATCACATCCACCTGAAGGTTTATTTATGAAGTCCGCTGAGAGTGGGCCGGTGAATTGGATGCATCCACACTCTTTTGTAGCCCAACGCTCTATTCATGCTGGTGAAGTTATTGCCATGGATGTTTCAGAACTTTCTATTGTGGAGGATTCACTGGTGTGGCGTTTTTTACCTCCACCATCATTTACATATAGAATGCAAATGAAAAAGTATGATAACAAGACAAACAATACCAATAATAAAAACATTTATATTGGTAAAAGTGAGACGCACACAGTATTATCTTCTTCTAAACTTGCAAATATCGCACGTCAAATTGTGCTTCGCGCTAATTCTTTACAAAATGGAAAAGTAAGACTAATTGAAACAGGATATGCACAGTTTATCTCTTCATTTATAATATCTTATGGAGATTTGGAACTTCTTCCTGTTAATTCGGATATTAATGAACATCTTTTACATCTAGGATTGTGTGATAAGTCTCCTTTTACAGTACGAAGTAAAACATTACGTCGTTCACAGATTGCTGAGAAATTTATTGAAAAATGGTGTACATCATTAGAAGACATGATTTTTTTAAACAAAGAACTACGAGAAACCTCTTTATTGCTTCTTCAATGTATTCCACCAGTACTGTTAGATTGTATGCAAAAAGATGCAACAGCGGTTGGTGGTTGTTTGTTTTTAAATAACAGAAACGATACGCTTGTGATGTTACACTGTGGATTTTTTCGTAGAATGGGTTTACATCAACCTGATCGTCTGGCACGACTATTGTGGACTTTTTCACGTTATGCTATTCCTATTCAGGTACCAGATTTACCAATGCGAAGTGGATGTTTTCCATTCTTGCGACTTATTCCACATGAATGTCGCCCTAATAGTTTTATAATGTTTTTGGATTCACCAGCATCCCATTGCTATGGAAAAGAGGGATTTTTTAATTATAACACTGTTAGCACCCGATATGATAATGATAATAATAATAATAATGAAAATAATAATGACAATAACAACAATAAGAAGAAGAAAGAACTTTTACCATGGGGATCTCCTTGTTCAGATCGTATTTTTCTTCCTTCTGTAGCCGTATTAGTGGCATGTCGAGATATTACTAAAGGAGAGTGTATTTATCGAAGTTTCTTTGGATCATCCTATATGACTCAACCACAACGATTACAATTTTTAAAATATTTTTTTTGCGGTATACCAAATATTGATAAACATATTCATACTGGTTGTTCATGTCGATGGTGCGTAAAGGAGTTAGATTACGCTCGTGCCTTTCGTTGTCCCAAATGTCCTCGTGATTGTGGTGTTATTTGCCCTCCTGGTGATTGTAGTCGATTGGATGAGTGGATCTGTTTACAGTGTGGTTACCATCCAAATATGAATGAAATTCATCTTTGCCTTGATGAAGAGCAGGAATTATCAACTGTTAAAGCGGATAAAACAAGTGGTTTGGTACGTTTACTTCAAGCAAATTATGTTCACTACAGTCATGCATTAGTGTTTAGAAAAATAGATACATGGTGTCAAAAAGCATGGCAAGAACATGATGCCTCCATGTGTCTTGAATACCTTGATATTATGCATAAGAGTGTACATCGTGTATTGAATCCATGTGATCCTCAATTAGCACAAGTTCATGAATTTACGGCGCAGGTAAATCATGCAGTGGGTTCTGCACACACAGCACGATATGAGTACTTTTTGGCATTGCAGATCAGATTGCGTGCTGGGATGCGGTATGCACACTGGACACGTAAGACGTGGTTTATGGCAGCAGAGAAGTCTTTGGCGGAGTTTTTGGATAGTGTCTAGATTGGGGGAAACCTTTTGACATATTATCTTTACAAGTATCGATTATAAAGATGATGATTATGATGATGACAACAAGAAAGCAATATGAAGGAGAAAAAAGAAAAGAAAGAGAGGCAAAAGAAAAAAAAAGCAAAAGAAACTACCGAAAAAAGAAGAAAGAAAAACACACATACAGGAAAAAAAGGTTGAGAAATCTATTACCTTTGATTTCCTTTTATATATATATATATGTTTTTTGGTTTATTTCCTGTTCTTTCCATTCCTTTTTCTCTGTATACACTATCTCTTTTTCTTTTTTTTTTTTCTCTTCTTCTTTTTATGAATCACATCTTTTAGAGTAGGACAGTGTGTTAGTTTCTTCTTCTTCATCTCCTGTCTCTCTCACTCTCTCATTTATATTCATTCATTGATTCACTCACTCACTCACCACACCTATCTATCTATCTATCTATTTATTTATCTTTATCTTTGTGGAGTTTGTGTGAATGCCCCCAAAGACTGCGCGTGTGGGGAGGACCAAGTCGGTCGCGGCGCCGAGCGACCCGATGGCGGACCTCACGGCCGTCGCCCCCGTCCACGCGACCCTCGCGGCGGCGGAGCGGCAGCGGAATTATTTTCAGGTCGAGCGCGACAAGGTGCAGGCGTATTGGGATCTCGCCCGGCGGGAGGTCGCCAACCAGCAGGACGCCCTTCTCAACGCCGAGGCCTCCCTCGAGGAGATGGAACGGGCCCATCAGGTCGAGATGAAAGTCTACAAGCAGAAGGTGCGGCACCTGTTGTATGAACATAAGATGAAGGTGAAGTCCTGTAAGGAAGAGAGTGATCGGATGTTGAAGGAGGCAGAGGAAAAACATCAGAAGCGGATGAATAATATTCGAACCCTTATGCAGCAACATACCAAACAACTGGAAACGGGAGCGGAGAATTATGAGATGAAAATTGAGGAACAACGGGACTCTCATAATTATATGGTTACAGCAACAAAGAAACAGAGTCATGAAAAAGAACTCGCCCGTCAACAGGCCGCGTATGATGCTAAACTCAAGGCTTTACGAGATGAATTAGAATTACGTCGACGTGCAGAAATTCATGAAATTGAAGAGCGAAAGAATGAACATATTAATGCTCTTATTCAACAACATGAAGCGAAATTTCAAGAAATGAAAGCTTACTACAATCAAATTACTACTAATAATTTAGAGATTATTCAATCTCTAAAAGAGGAAATAGCTCAAATGAAGAAAAATGACGAACATAACGAAACACTAATGTATGATATTGATCGTGAAAATCAAAATTTAGTGGCCCCTTTAGAGGAGGCTCAACGTGAAGTAGCAGAATTACAACAAAAACGAAAACAATATGAACAAGATAAACGTAGTCTTGGTATGACTCGTGCTAAATTACGTTCACTACGTGAAGAAATATGGCGTTTACGAGAGGAACATAAAGCTCTAGAAGAACGTTATTCTCGCGTTCATCAAGAACGGGAAGAACTTAAATCTAAATTCGAGTCTGCTCTTCGTCAAGCGATGGAAGTAGTGGAAGAACGTAATGAAGTACTACAACAGAGATTAATTGAATCACACGCACTGGTAGAAGAAAGAGATGCACAGTTGGATGGTGTACTTAATGCAATGCATCTTGAACCTGCTGCATTAGATCTTATCGCCACTGAAGTGGATCGTACCTTAGAGAGGAAGAATCAGATGATTAAGGATTTGCATTTTGAGTTGAAAAAGGGAGAGAAACTACTAAACGCTACACTTGTTGAGTTAGAAAGACGTTGTCAGGCAGTGAATCTCCCGCCACTTCCTCGGGATACTTTCTTTTAAACAGATAGTTCCTTTTTATTATTATTATTATTATTATTATTATTATTCTCTTTATTGGTACATAGTCTGTAAGTGTTCGTGTCTGTGTGTGTGTGTGTTTATTTAAATGAGTAATATAAATATACGTAGAGGTGATGTAGCTATGCGTATGGAATTATTTATTCATTGCTTGATTCTGTTGAACTTTGTGTTTGTGTTCTTCGTTCCCTTAAAAAGAAAGAGAAAAATTCGAGTACAAGAAGGGTGACGAATCGATGTACAGTTTGGTGTGAACAGTCCTAGACTCATGTTTAAATAGATGCGTGTGATTTCTACTACTACTACTACTACTACAGCACGCCTTTTTATTATATTTTCTTTTTCTTTGCAATAGTGTATCTTATTGCTTGATTCTTCAATTATTATTGATATGACTCTTATTCTTGTATTTGCTTTTTTATTTATTTTTGGTTTTGCATTGGCTGATGTACCTCTTTTTCTTTTTCTTTTTTTTTTGCCTTCATCTTTTTTTTTTCATTTATTAGTTGCCTGGCAACACCACCTTATACACACAGATACAAGGTGAAAGAGAGATAACTAGAGAGAGAGAAAAAAGGGTAGATTCGACAGACAAAAACAAAAAAGAGACAATTGTCAATCATAAACTCTTTCACCAAACTCCCCTTCCCCCTTCTAGAGAGAAAAAAAATACACAATAAGACAATGAGTCGCCCAACCCATTTGGGTGTTCTTTGTGTTGATGTGAATGAGTTACTACGAGCCCACAACCGATTGAAAGTAAAACGGCGTGATAATATGTTGTTGTATCGCAAATCATATCTTATCACCGATCCGCTGCCGCCCACGACTACTCCACACTCATCTGTGGGTAAACGAACACCGTCTAACTCCCCATCACGTAACTCTAATGCCGGTACACGATTAAGCCGGAAGAGTAGTACCTGCACACCGAGGAGACACAGAGGATCAAGAAGAAGAAGTAGTAGCAGTAGAAGGAAAAGAGGAGATAAAGATCAAAGTGATAATGATAGTGAGTCTGGTGCATATCCGCTTGAGTCTGAGGTGCATGAAGTAGCATTAATTACCAGCGGTGTATCTACACCCAAGAGATCCAGTAGTAAAATAGATTCTGCTCGCAGAAAACCGTACAAGATGATTACCGCAACTCCAGAGGAAGAGGGAAACAATTGTAGTACATCTGTTTCTGGCTGGCACAGTAAAAAACGTATTTCCTCACCATTACAAGGATCACATGATGGACACGAACAAGAAGGATTAGAGACTTCACAGAGAGATCATCATGTCACCTTAGAGGGTTATTTTATTCCAGGAAATAGTCGTGATCATGTGGAAGGAAAAGTGAATGAGTCAAAGATGCAAGATCAAGAACGACCAGGAGAGTATAAATACAGTCAAGATAATCAAACAGAAGAGAAGAAACAAAAAGAACAAGAAGAAGAAGAAGAAGAAGAACAACAACAACAACGGTCTCAGTTATCATCTTCTGATCCACGTTCAAGTATATCGGAATCTGCTCAACGAACCATTAATTCTCTTTTAGCATCTATGCAACAGCGTGTTTGGGAAAATGCCCACAAAATGCGTTCATCCCCATTGGGAAGCTACCGTGAAAGTGAGAGAGTTAAATATGGGAGGAGTAACTATGATGGAGATTATGAATACAGTCGAGAAGAAGAAAATAACAGCAAGACGAATAGTAGTAATCCTGAAAATAGTTCAGATACTCTTCATGTGACGATGGTTGGTCCAATGGGAGTGGGTAGTGTACCACCCTCACCAAACCCATGGTCCCGTCCACGAATTCAGTCTCTTTCTCCCTCTCGTCGTTCACCAATTCCCACAAATAATGCGATGGCTGCTATCTGTAATACACCACACCATCATATGCTTGACAAGAATGGTAAAGAGAGGGTTTTGGTAATGGGAGTTGTACCGACAATACCCAAACCTGTTGTTAAACCACCACTTCGTGCAGTACGAGAAGGTGCGACAACGACGACAACAACGACGACGACATTACCACCAGTTTTTCGAAGAGTCGCACGTGTTGCTGCGGCACCCAGCAGAAGACCTAAACGTTTTTGAGTTTTAAGTAAAAGTAAGAGATGTAAACTATATTGCCTACCAAATACATTTGCTGTATATATATATATATATATATATATATATATATA